CACAGTGTCTGGTTGTGGTGCCCTGGGCTGGCCACTTGAGGGCACTCTCCCGTTTTTATGTTATGTGTTGAACTCCATTTCCCATAGTCCCTTGCTTGTCATTCTGTCTGATCATGAGCACCTGGTTATCAGTTCCGATCATTTTCACCTGTTAGTCATTTACTCTTTATCCCATCTATATATACCATGCTCACTCTGTCTGTCACTGCTGCTATATTGTATTTGTCTTCCCATGTCTTCTTGATGTTATCTGGAGTTCACCGTGTTATTCTGTTTCTTGTGTTTTGGATTACCTTTTGCCACGTTTTTGTTCTGTTTTGATCATTTGTTACTTTCAATAAACTGCAAATGGATCTTACCTTGTCTCTCCTGGCATTCCGTGACAATGGGACTATACCATTTTCCAAGGAAAGAACAATAAATGTAATAGTTGGAACTATAATATCTGCAGCATCTCTTAAAAATCTAGCTGGAATGTCGTCCAGCCCAGTCGACTTAGACACTTGAAGCTCTTCTAGCATTTTAGTAATTTGATCTACAACACAATCTCACTCCCAACTCGTCAGATGTATTTGCACAGCAGAAGAATTAATTACGAAAAATGTAGATCAAGAATCGTTTTGGAATCGGATCGTGACTCCCGGAATCGGATCGTGAAGTGCCTAAAGATTCCCACCCCTAGTGGCTGTACTTACAGTATATTTGCCTGTTGTGTGTTTTATGTTGTTCAGAAGTGGGCAGGTTTAGGGTAGGGGTGGGGTTAGGTGCTCCAATGAAAGTATAAATTTATATAAAATTATTTCTATTTTTTACAAATGCATGCAAACCATTATATTAAGACAAACAACTGAAAACAATGGAGGACCCTGCACGTCGAAAAGTGACCCTAAAGGGGTCCTGACCAAGCGTCGATATGTGACGAGTTATATGTCCGTGCTCTTTAAAGCAGCAAGGATTCTGATTGGCTGTCAATGTTTCTATCGTTCATCAGCTGGAAAAAATCGCTATGAAAGTGATTGCGACAATATCGTTCCTTTATAGTGTTATCGTTATGTGATGTGGACTCTGCTATTCTTTCCAATTTTGGATGACTTTTAAAACGATATCTTTATCATTATAGTTATCGCTCTTGGTGTGAGCGGACCTTTAATGTAAGTTACATAATCATCATCAGATTATGAACACAATACAGACAGTTAAACACTAACTTACCAATCAATCACCAGCATTTACTGTATCAGTAATTAAAGTGACAGTTCAGCCCAAAACTGTCATTATTAATTATCTTTGTGTCATGACCCTTGTTCTGTGGAGCCAAAACGCAGATGGTTAGCTGAATGTTTGCGCTGCTCTTTTACACAGGAGATCCTCAACCTCCATATGGCTCAGTATTTCAGGTGTTTTATGAGGAGCAGACGTCACCTACTGTAATATAATGAAATATCTGTGATGTAAATGTCGCCTGCAAAAACATTTTGTCCTATTTCATCAGAAAGCACATTTGAACGGATGAAAGATGCTGATTGGCCAACATCTACCAGCAGAGACTAACTAACCCCTTGCAGTTTGTACTGGGTATTATTTTTCTTAATTTATCAGAAATACTCTATTCCACAATATGCAATATAACAGATATAAAATTATTAATTTTTTTAATATATTTTTAATTATAATACTAAATAGATTTTTACATATTAAGTATATATATTTTTTTTATTGTAATATTTAATTAATAATTACACATTAACACAATGAGGTCATGTTACATAACTCATATTTTTTCACATGCTGTTTATTTTGTTGAACTGTAAAGGCAAGTATAACGTGTATGTTCTGTGTTTTTACTGAAACCCAAACAAAGAGTTTCTATCCTTGAACAAAAGCTACTATTACATGAGTAATAAATAATTGGCCCGCGTTGATCTCTTTACGTAAGTGTGCCAGGCGTTTCACTCAATCAAAACCGAAATATTGACTGGAAATGAAATGATTAACAAATGATCACATACCAAAACAGATCCGATCTTGAACTTTTAGGTTTATATCAAACTATAACGCTGTGCACACTCGCACACTGCAGAAACTTTATAACCTACACTAAATCTTCACTATAACACAACTAGCAAACAAAACTTGGAAAAATATGTTTGTTTTAAAGTAAAATTAAAAATATTGTTTATATATGCTAAAAACATGTTTTAATACCATCTTAATGTTTGCATGAGTCTGACTCAATAATAATCCAGTTTTTCTGCTGTTGTTGCTTAGTTGGGTTTACAGTCTGGTTAGTCATGTGACTGCAGCAGTTTATATTGTTTAATGATTCATTTATTTACTGGGCATGAATTACTCAGACGAAACACCCGAACACACCAAACAATCCTTTTTTTTTTTTGCTATTCATAATTAATATTAAATACAGTTTCGTATTTATGTTTTATTTTTATGTTTATAATTTTATGAATGATATGCATGTGACTTAATTTATACAATTATGCGTAAAACATTTATTATTTTTAATTATATTAATTTCGCAGCAATTTTACAATAAAAATAAAACACAAATGCTAATTTTCGTTTACTTAGTTATTTATTGTTTGCATATTTAACCTATATAAAAGTAAATGCTTGATGCATTAAAACCTCTTGAAATTCTGAGTAATAATTGTGTGATGTTTTTACTGCATGTTTGGGTTTCGTTCGGCATAAATATGGTATCACACACTCAGACACACTGACCATCGCAGCTTCCAGAGAACTGTGGAAGAATGTTTCACACAAACAAGACTCGACAGGCGCTTGAGAAGTGCCAGTGAGCGCAGTAAACACACACATGACCTCTTATCTGATGCCTGTCATAAATCACCATCAAACAAACTCCCTTCTGTTTCATGCACTTTAGTCACACTCAGCAGCTTCTCTTTAGGGGTCACTTCATGATAGTTTTACCTGAAAGAAAAACCTGACAGTAGAAAACAAGCATTTAATGCAGCTTTAGCTCAGCTTGCAGCAATGCTGTGAATGAAACGTGCACTTTAAAGCATTTAAGTGACAGCATCATGAAGCATCATGCATTGAATTCAGCTGTCAGGCATAGAGGCAGATTGAGGCCGCGGGCGAAGCCGCCAGTGACTTCAATGGCGTTTCCAGCTTTCTTTCGGGCTCGGCTTATCGAAAAACATTCTTGACCTGAATAATTTCTGTGTCGGTAATCTAAGCCATGACAAAAGAGATTTTAGCAGTGTACGAGTCACGGTCAAACTGACAAAAGCACCTGATGTTTACCGTGCGCATAGTTGAAAACTGAAAGTACAACAGAGTACACCTGAAACACGCCTGAAGTATGTTATGCGATACACAAATGAATTCTTTTAACATTTGTCACTTTTGTTGAGACCTCATAATAACACGGCGGTAAAAGGATTCCGGAGTGAAACTGCTCTATTTAGTAATTGGTAATCAAGTCATCTTGGGTTGGATTCTAGTGTATAGGATAAATTCAGTTCAAGGCCATCAGATTAACCATCTCAGATGACCTTAATTCCAGGGTAGTTTAAAGTGTTTTCGAGCTCATAAACTCTTTTCCGACTGTTTTCCGCAGCTCTCACAGGTATTGAATGATGAGCGTGAGATTATCCAGTTCAAAGACTGTTTACTGCTTATGATGGTTCTCAGTTTCTGTCTTGTTCAGCTGCGCCTATTTGCATGTGGATCCTAAATTCAAATGCAGTGCGTGTGTATTTGAATGCCGGACCTCTAAAAAACAGTCGCTTTGTGCTCTAAATGCAAAACTAAACCTGCTGTGAAAAATGCAGTCAAGTTCAAGCAAAGGTCAAACTGCATCGTTTGGAAATTCTAGGTCTGAAAAATCAAACAGCAGCACACAAATGGGCATTTAAAGAACTTAAACTAAACCTAATTGTATCTGCATTCATATTTAAATGTGTAAAAGTAATGTTATTTTGAGAACTTAAGGAGAACTGACTTTATACATCCCAAAAAAAACAAAAAAACAAAATACCATCCAAGACTTCAAGCATGATGGAGAAACGTGTTGGAATTCATTTTTTAAAAAACAGCTGAATCATTCTGTTGATTTGCCGTGAAATTTGACCTGCATTTTTAACCTGTTTATGCATCCGAGATGCGTAAAAATAGCATTCATCCTGCATTCTGCTGCATGTTTGTTTTGAACTTTGCACGAAAGAGTCACGTTTCAACACATCTGTGATCTCTGATAAGAAGACTTGAGCAAATTGAGCAATTATAAAGTAAATGTTGAAATAAGGTTCGGTGGAACATTGTTCAGGAGGGTGAGGCACAAATGCAAGATGAAAGACTTTTAATCAGAAATTTTATTTTTTAGAAAATACGTATACAAAAAATAGCAAATAAATGCCATACATAATAGTTATAACATCTGAGAGGCAAACCTCATACACATTATCCAGTGACTTGACAAATCACAGAAAAATTGAGAAATTGATATATCTGATTTGTACTCGATTGACAAGTATTACAAAGAATATATAGTTTATATGTACATTTATATACAGTAGAACAAATATCAATCAGCACAGCAGATATGAACGTTACAGACACGTCATACCACCGACGTGTTCTTCCGTTAATCTGCTCTGACAAATGGTTTGACAAATATACCTACACACGAAACTTCATTTCCCAATACCAAAGAGCCTTAACAAAGCTTTACATTCTCTAACAGTTCAACCATTGTGTAGAACAAGTGTTTACATAGAGTCTTTAAGTGATGTAGCAATACTATCTGATCCAGGCCACGCCCGCGTGCCGCTCGAACCAGACATGCACAACTTTTACTGGTTCATAAAACCTACTTTAGCCAAAACTCTGGCTTACAGTTTCTGTGAAACCTTTTCCCTCTGGGAAGACCGTGTTTCTAAAGAGAGGATCTTCAGAGCACCCTAAAGTTCCTCATTTGCAGGAGTACAAAGTCTCTAGGTTTGACTGACAGGTCCACTTCAATATCCGGTCTCCTGCCCCCAGAGCTGAGCAACAGCTTCGGACTTCAAGAACTTGAAGACGCCATCCCTGCGGTCCTCCCATTTCATCAGACCTTGGTTCTTCTCCGGGTGGATCAGGATGTCCCGGATAAACTCCCACAGGTGGGTTCCTCTTGGAGCTGCAATGGAGCAGTAGAGTCTAGTTTAGTACGGATTATCGTTACTTGATCTTGAGCATTAGGTACCTCTTCAACTAGAGTTCTGTGTACTCACCGTGTTTGCTTTTTTTGGACTGAATGAAATGGTCAAATCCCTCACTTTGGCACTTTGGGGGTCGTCCTCTGCCTCTCTTTTTGGGCTCTCCGGACTCTTGTTTCACAAAGTTCTCTGTGGAAAAGAATGCAGTCAAACGTTAGATGGGTCTATTTGGGTACTCCCTACTTTATTATTCCATTTAAACCTGCTGCTTGAGGGCCACCACCTTGCAGAGTTAGGTTTCAACCTGCCTGTAACTGCCAAGTAAAGACCTTGATTAGCTGGTTCAGGTGTGTTTGACTAAGGTTGAAACTAGCTTCTGCAGGTAGGTAACCCTCTAGGATCAGAATCGGAGGAACTTACTAGTGCTGGTGGAGTAAGGCATCTCTGAGTATTCTGGGTCGGAGTCGCTGCTGTTGGACTCGGGTGAGCTTGGGTTCAGGAAGCTACCTGTAGAGGACATACCAAAGAAAAGAGCGTTCAGACTTCAGGAGAACTTTGGGATGCTTGACCTTAATGGATTAGTAGAGTTCTGTGGCGACACGCACCAGTGTGGGAACTCTGAAAGCTCTCAGTTAGAGAGTCATAGCCGTGGTCACTCTCTGGAGTCAGCTGGTTGGTGTACTCATCAAAGTAGCTGTAGTTGTTCTCTGAATTGTCTGCGCAAAGAGAATTCCAAATGTTATTTCAAGTACCGATAGTTGGACATTGCTTTCAATGGTTTATGTTGAAAAGTTGCAAAGTGGAATTTGCTTCTAACCTGATGGGATTGAGGGCTGGATCACCACCGTTTCCAGAAGTGGACCGAGGCTCGGTCCATGCATGTAGGAAAACGAGTTCTGCAGTATGTTGTCCAGTAAGTCTAATTCGGATTCACTCAGACATGTCTCAGACAGGTCAGTAGCTGTAGACACAAACAAATCAAGTGTGTTAATGCATTCAAGTACAGAAACTTCAAAGGCTTCTTCAAACAAGTTCCGTCTTTGTTGCTCACCATATCTGGCCTTTTGGGTCTCCAGGCTGTGGTGAAGCCGTTCACCAAGCATCGATCCGAACATGCTCATCAAAGTTTCTTTTGACATTGTGCACAGTGTGATCCCGTCCATGTCGCAGTAGTTCATATTCAGCAGACTGGCATCGAACCTGCTGTCCTCCACGTGAAAGCCGATCCACTCCAGAACGTTCTGCCTGGTCCACATCTGTGGGTTCACCAGGTCCCAGGGGCCTGCCGGAGAACAGGTTCAAAGTATGTTTAGCCTCATTCACACCTGAGATCACCCAAACTACCCCCCAGGTGTAGATGCCCCTAACAATAGAAGAATACCCGCTCAGGTTTACTGTCTCCAGGGCCTGAGCTACTGTTGTGTGTTTAACTATCTGTTGTGTTGACACCCCGTAGGTTTTGATCACAGTGTCAACAATGACTGCTTTGCCCGAAAGACCATAAAGAAAGCATTCCTTCCCGTCTACTGCAGGCCAAGTTAAACATTGCCTCGGTTAATGATTTTAAGAGTCAGAAACTGAGGTCAGACTTCAGGGATATGAGATTATCGTTGTGTCTGGGCTCTCGGTTGGGTGATGGGAACCATCCCAAGCAGGCAAAAGCCATACAGATATCAAGAGCTACCGCTAATTTATTCTTAAGTAAGCGGTATGATGATGAAGGCTTACCCATTGTGCTGTTGTTACTGCTGAAGGTCATCTCTGAGAGTCTGCCCATCGGCGCTGTCATGCTCAACAAGTTGGGCTGCGGTTCAGATGGGTACAGGTTGGCATTTGCGTTGTTGAGAATAAGACTAAGTTCGCTTGACGCCATGAGAATTCTGCAAGATAAGAAACCACATCAATTGAACTTCATCCAAAACTGCAAATCAGAAGTATGTTCTTATTTAAAAAAAAAAAAAAAACTTGCTTGGAAGGTAATGATTTAAAAGGCAAATTATTTACCAGTTGTGGTGGATAAAGGCAGCTTGGTTTCTATATAAAATCCCAGTGCAAGTGTTAGTTAGGTAATAATCCAGTCAGTAAGGTTTTGTCTTCAGCAGTTTGAGGTTCACTGTTCAGAATCTCAGAAGGCTTGCTTATGCACCTGCTGCTGCTGATGAATTTATAGGGCAAGAACGGGCAAAGAGGGGGCGTGGCCAGGTGAGATGCATGAGGGGGCGTGGCCAGGTGAGCATATTCTCCTGGGAGGGGGAATTCCAGCGAATATCTCTCTCTTTCTCGCTCACTCGGCCGCTCTCCCCTTTTGTTTTTTTTCCTGAGAATAGCTTTTCAGACCTTGAAACATTAACTTGAAACATGACAAGGCAGCTAACATACATTCAGAGATAAACGCGAGCAAATACTATGTCACCTGTGCTCTTTTTTCATGACAACACACACACATTAACCCATTCTCTCAACTATTCCCGGAGGGATGAAGTCATTTCTGCCAATATTTAACGTTGACGCAAATGTGTGTGTGTGTGTAACTTTATAACAGGTTTCGGTTTGCTGCAGGACTGACTGGTGTTTCTCTGTGTGTGTGTGTTTTGGGTCTTCATACATGGCTGAGTGCTTTTGTACTAGATGTAGGTGATGGTAAACTCCATTCTGTTGTTGTGGATGAAGCTTATAATGACAGCAAATGATGTAAGCATTTCAACCTCAAGTCTGAAGCGATTCATATGAGCAGAATTTGTGTTTGCATTCTTTTTGTGTACCATTGTAAAGTAAATACCACCATATATGAACGGAAGTCATTAATTACCATGCATTTCCGTTTCTATTTTTACGCACTTTGCTAGCCCACGGTACTAAAATAGCAGTTAATCATGTGATCCAAATTTAGATGTTTGCATGTTATTCTCTTCACATTTTTCCTCCTCTCATAACTGCAGCTCTTTTTCCGTTTCTTGTTGACGCCACGCTGATGATTGATGAAGGAAAGACGTCTTGGAATGCAAATGAACAGGTTCTGGTGAAGATAAATTATTCTTGAGACTGCAAGACTTTCCAAATGCGGAGGCATCTGTCACCCCATCACCCACCTGTCGCTCTCTCTACCTGTCTTGCATCATGTCGATTAAACACTCAATAGAGAAGAAAGTGCGAACCCATCCATCAGTCATGAGTGTATGTAGGATTGTCTGTAAGATCATAAATAAATACAATCACCTGCGTGGGAGAGAGAGAACAACAACATTGGATCAGTATTATAAAGGTCATATTTTAAAAGGTCAAACCTAACACACGTTTTTAACAGCATTTCGCAAAGGTATTCATCTCCTGAGGTCATGATGAGCTATACTTTTGATTATAAAGAACTAAATCGGATGAAATCTCTTTACGTCACTACTTGCCATTAAATAAATGATTCATAATTAAAGCTCAAAGTCAGTCTGGAGCCATTATGACTAACTTCATATATATTAGAAAATTTCACATAGAAATTTCCAAATGTTGTCGGTAATGGGTTGGACAGGGTTCGGTTTGGGTTGTAATCATAATTAGCTTAAATTAAAACAATAGAAGTCAATGGGAAGTCCCAGTCGTGATGGCAAACACTAGTCCGTGTGTGTTTCTCTCGGCTTGGGGTCTGTTATATATTCACCACATCAAGTAAAGCATGAAGGTCAGTGTGACGGCGAGGAATTCCTTCTGTCGACTTCCCAAAGTTATTAACTGCTCCAGACTCCATTAATAGGCTAGTTAATGAAGTTAATGAGAGCTGCACACAGTCTGACTCCATTAGTGGGAAACTCCTGCCACCATGCGGAGAGATCCGGGTACTGCAACTACATCAAATTGCTGGACACAAAGTAGGCTACCATACACTGTCATCTTTTTTGGACGTGTTCCTTGCTATTTTTACACTTGCAAAAAGTACCAGGAAGTATCAATGGTTTGTTTTATTAGCATTATCATAATATTCTTGGAATTACCCTGCAATGCCATGTAAATACCATGGTAAATGTATTTGGGTATCATGGTAAAGAACATTTTGGGGGAAAAAATACACTTTACAGTTTACATTCACTTGATTCTTAACACTGTGTTGTTAGCTGAATGATCCACAGCTGTGTTTATTTGTTTAGTGATAGTTGTTCATGAGTCCCTTTCCTGTTGAAAAAAACAGCATATGCTGGTTAGGTATGTTTTGACGCTGGGATGCTGGTTTAAGCTGGTCCTTTGCTGGTTTATGCTGGCAAAGGACCAGCATAAACCAGCAAAAGGACCAGCAAAGGACCAGCTTAAACCAGCATCCCAGCGTCAAAATATACATAACCAGCATATGCTGGTTTTTTCAACAGGGTTGTTTGTCCTGAACAGTTAAACTTCCTGCTGCTCTTCAGAAAAACCCTTCAGCTCCCACAAATTCTTTGGTTTTCCAGCATTTTTGTGTATTTGAACCCTTTCCAAAAATGACTGTATGATTTTGAGATTCATCTTTTCACACTGAGGACAACTGAGGGACTCATATGCAACTATTACAGAAGGTTCAAACGCTCGCTGATGCTCCAGAAGGAGAAACCATGCATTAAGAGCCGGGGGGTGAAAACTTTTGAACCGAATGGAGATGGGTACGTTTCCCAATCCCCACCCCCGCTTTCGCTAACTTGCGGCTATAATATCTGTAACCATAGCGACACCGCGATAATAAACCGCGTATTAAGCACATAATTTACATTTATAAGCTGTTTCGGGTGTTCTTGCTGCTTTTATCCACTCACACGTCACATTGTTTACATTAATGTAAAGCTTCACAGTGTAACGGTTTGTCTTAAAGAAGCAGCTTTAAAGAAAACCAAACAAAACGTGAAGCCTTTAAGTGAATAAGATAAACCTGAACTCTAATCTCATCTGTCCTCAACTTAAACACTACCCGAGCGTGTCTGTTTGTACAGTGACACAATGCCAATGTTTACTAACATTTTTCATCACCTCAGGAGAGAATGAACACGAATGACTGACAGAAGTTTATCAGGCGAAGCGCGTTATGGGGAAAAAAATCTAAATGATTTCTTCTTCCTCACTAATATATCTAAAAATCCTTAAAACGAGACAGATGCGGCCTACTTGAGAATCTCCACAGCGCACGATGTTACGATCTGGTAGATTTACGATACTGTCAATAAAAACGAGTCTTAGTATCTTTGTGGCTTCTCAAGTAAATGTTTCAATGACTTTTTAAAAAATATTTTACTGGAAAATAAGACTAAACTGTCTCGTTACGAACGACTTTAGACTTTTTCAAAAATATATTTTAAATTTGCTGTAAACAGTGAAGCTCAATGAAACACATATTTGAAATTGAAAATATATTTAGTTTCAACCTTCATATACCAAATATATTTCAAAATATATTTCAGTCTTACAGTGGCCTACATTTAGACTAAATGCAAATGTGGATGGAATATAGCCTACTAGAGATCAATACATGATGTAAATTTTCTTTTTCATATATTGGTTAAAAAAATCCTAATTTCCTTCCTTTTTTTAAATTGAAATGTGTTATATATTGACGCATGTTACTAGTTTTTCCTTTAAACGTCAACAATTGTGAATGCATTTTCTTCGAACTGAAATATCTGGATGGCAAAATGTGTTTTTTTCACCATATAAGCATATCTATACTTATTTTCCATGTGTTAAAGTAATAGTGTGAACTCTTAAAAATCACAAATATAAGTCTGGGAATGATGTAGGGATGAAAACTCAGCTCTGGAAGTTCACGAGGTGCATCATGGGAGGCTTTTCAGACGAGGCCTTTGCCTTTGCTTCAACTGAAACATTTTTTGACATGAGAAAGAAGCGTCTAAATGTTTGCCTTGCAGTGCATGTAGATATATGTCCTGTGTAAGATCTGTCGTCTCTGTGGCCGGGAGGTCTTTTAATAGAACAGGCCGACAGCTGCACACACACACACACACACACACACACTCCAGTGCTGTTATAAATACTGAGGTGTGTGTGTGTGTGTTCAGTTCTAGAGATGGCCGACAGAAAGAGCAGCAGCAGCGGAGGCGCCAGCTCTCGTCTGACCGTCAGGAGGAAAGAGAGAGCAGAAAATGAGGCCAAGAAAGAGGAGAAACCTCCTAAAGAAGGAGAGAAAGCCGAGGTGAACGGGACAAGTGTGCCGGCGGAGAACGGAGAGGCCGCCACCGGAGACGGAGCCACGGCGAACGGAGAGAACGCAGAGAAACCGGAGCCCATGGAGCTGCCGCCGTTTGAGATCATCACCGGGTGAGTCAGAAAAATCCTCTCATCATTTACAGTACTTTCCAAACCTGGCCGGCTTTCCTTCTTCTGCGGAACACGAGAGATGTATGACCTTCAGACCTTCTGATTACTTGTGCATCATAAATCATAAAACAGCTTTGTTTGAGGAACAGACCCAACTCATAAGTCATACTTCTGCACACAAACATAATAAATCACGTGGGATCATTGACAACTTCTAGGGGAATATATTAATCATTAAAAACAAAAACAAATCATGAGATTTAAGGGAATGAAACCATAATTGAGAGTCTGTTCCACACACGAAGCTTAATCAACAGTCTTCAAAGTAAATGTTCTTCATTGGCATCAGTGGTTCCACTAAGAACCTTTAACATCCAACCTGTCCATTGGACAAAAGGTTCTTTATAGTGGAAAAAGTGCTTTTTTTGTTTATGTTAAGAAAAAAAGTGGTTCTTTTAAGAACTGTTCAGGTTCTTTGGGGAACCAAAAATGGTTTGGTTAAACTTTATTTTAAGGTGTCCTTGTTACAGTGCAATTATACTGTACTTACTATATGGTTAGGGTTAGCATGTAATTATGCATAATCAATTGTTGTTATAATAGGACACCGTAAAATAAAGTGTTGGTTCAATGGCTCTTCTATGGCATTGTTTATAGAGTGAGAAACGTTCCACGGAAGAGAGAAAGTCATACGGGTTTGTAATGATACGAGGGTGTGTAAATGATGACGGATGTTTAATTTTCAAGGAAATTAAGCCTGATAAGAATCTTCTGGAGAAATGCAGACTTCTGAAAGTGTGTTTTCACAGTGATTCCATGGAAGAACAGCTTTTGGTTGCCCAAAGAACCATTAAACGAACCATTTAAGCTCAATTTCCCACTATAAAGAACCTTTTTTGCAATGGAAAGTTCCATAGATGTTCTTTATGGAACCATTTTAGCTCAATTTCCCACTATAAAGAACCTTTTTTGCAATGGAAAGTTCCATGGATGTTCTTTATGGAACCATTTTAGCTCAATTTCCCACTATAAAGAACCTTTTTTGCAATGGATGTTCTTTATGGAACCATTTAAGCTCAATTTCCCACTATAAAGAACCTTTTGTGCAATGGAAAGCTCCATGGATGTTCTTCATGGAAGCACTGATGCCAAAAACCTTTATTTTTAAGAGCGTAAATCGTGTTTCTCCATGGGTGCATCTGTGAATCTATTGGGGAATGTGTGAACTGAACGCAGATAAATCCAACCCATCCCCCACCAAGGTCAGTCCTGACAGGCCGTGATGTGTCTCGCTGTGTGTCGTCTAAAGAACACGCTCTTAAAATAACATCAGAACATCCATATGCTGCTTTAAAGAACCTGAAACATCAAGAACGTTGTCAGTGTCCAGAGGAACCAACTCGAGAACTCTAAACGGTCAGAAATGGTTCTTGAGAAGAAGACGACTCCTGACTGACCCTAAAGTACCTTTTTGAGGAAGTCAATCAGATTGGAGCTGGAATTACATCTCATTTAGGTGTCGGTTTCCTCTTAGATGCTTCTCCTAAAACTCCCAAACAGAAATAAAACTGCCCAGTCATCATCCAGTAAGAGTCTAGAGCTATGAAATGAAAGCGGAGCCGCTTGATGAGAAATGTTTGAGTTCTTACTGAGATCTCTGACTTATGATTGATTGATATTGTTTGACATCTGACGTTTATGAATGCAAACGTGCTTGATAACCCATCGCTGATGAGTTTGATTCTGTCGACACATTAAAGCTGTGAATTGTTGTGGATCATCTCGTAGCAGGTGCTTGTTGAATCAGGTTCATCTGGCAGCAAACACACACAATGCCTCCAAACCGTGGGTTCTGTATATGGGTCAGAGTCCAAGAATAAAGTTCTGCCCCCGCCAAGGGTATTTATAACCCCAACAGCCCTTCCAATCTGTCAGCCGGTGAAGGAGCTGTTAAAAACAACCACAGAAACCCCCTCAGAGGTCAAAGACTCGGGCTGGCTATTGAGACAAATTCCACGATTCAATTAGTATGTGATTCGCTTCAATTTGATTCAGTATATTGATTCATTTGGTTATATAGGTAATCAGGTGCGGTGCATGCCAATCTCCCTCAACTAATGCTGTAAACTATACAATAAAAAGCCTGTTGGTTGGTACATTACTATATTAAACTGATTCATAAACAAACATTTAAAATTGCACATAATAAAAATGTATTATATGTTAAAAATGTATTTAATGTTATAATTATGTTTTTAATCCAGTTTGTTGTTGAAATGTAAACATTTAAACAGTGGATGCCATAACTTCTCTTCATAACGGATTTATTAAAACATACAGTAAATATTGAAAAACAGATCGTGGCTAATTTAGTAAGTAAATATATGTATATAGTGCATATATTTATCAAAATGCATCTCTCTAGAGTTATTTTTCAAGCTGACTATCGAGTTTTTGGACACTGAATTTACTTCCTGAGGTAAATGTGATATTACGTGACATTGTTTACAAGTTGTTTTATTTCTGCGGTTGACATGATTCATTTCGGTACCTTCTGATGTTCATTCATGTTTATTTCGTCCTGCATTAAAGTGGTAGAGATTATTGTTTACTCGCGCTGCCGCTCGAACTGCAGCATTTGTTTCGTAATTAAAGTGACAGAATTTGAACGTTAAGACTTTGCTTCTTACCAAACGTAATAAAGCAAGAGGATTATTGCGATTTATTGGGTGGGCAGCGCACTACAAATAATCGTTCATTAAGTAATGTGATCGCTCTTTCTTGTGTGGGTAATCAAGCGAGCTGCAGAGTTTTGAACATATTGTAGTCGTTTGATATTATTAGCTGACAGGCCATAAAGAAGTGAATTACAGTAATCTAGTTGAGATGTGACGAAGGCATGTGTAACAGTTTCAGCATCCTTCCTACTGAGAGAGGATCGAATACGCGAGATATTACGCAGGTGGAAAAAAGCTGTCTTTACTACTTTACCAATGTGATCATTGAATGAAAGAGTGGAATCAATGAGAACACCAAGATTGCGAACTTTAGTGGAGGGCATAATCAGATCACCATCCAGATCCATCAGTTGACCAGAGAGCTTAGATACTACAGCTTACAGTGGACGTTAAACCTGTAGCGTTTAATTATTTGTCCAATTCGTAGCATATAAATGGTAAAGAGGAGAGGGCCCAAAACAGAACCTTGAGGTACACCAGAACTGATGGATTTGGTAGACGATTCGTGTTTCTGGTATATAACAAATTGTTGCCTCCCGGTCAAATAGGTGGAAAACCATTCAAGGGCTGTGTCAGTAATTCCAAATGCTGAAAGCCGTGAGAGGGTTGTGTGCTGTTAAGAAAGCCTGTAACTGGGAGGCAACAACTTTTACTAATATCTTAGAGAGAAAAGATAAGTTCGAAATAGCTACTTAGGAAGAACGTTCGAGACCATGCTTTTTAAGAAGTGGAGTGACAGCAGCAATCTTAAGCTTTGATGGTACAGTTCCAGATGACATTGACGTATTAATGAAGGATTTATCAGAGTTAAATTTAAGGTAATTTGCCTCAAGCCAAAGCTTGAGTTCCTTGATGCGATTTGTTAATGCAGGCGGAGGAAACACTGAGGTGGAAGGTGCGCTAAAATAAATTTGAATGTCATCTGCGTAACAGTGGACGTTAAACCTGTAGCGTTTAATTATTTGTCCAATTCGTAGCATATAAATGGTAAAGAGGAGAGGGCCCAAAACAGAACCTTGAGGTACACCAGAACTGATGGATTTGGTAGACGATTCGTGTTTCTGGTATATAACAAATTGTTGCCTCCCGGTCTCATCAACCTCTGTGGGGACAACAGAGTCAAAACTAGAGAAGCTATGAGCATGGCGTAATGAGAGAAGTTCAGTAGTGGGAACAGAGGTGTAGAGTGTTAATAAAAGTCAGCACTGACAGCACGTTTCTAAATGTTTCTTTGTGCGCACAGCATGATATCCAAACACCGGACACTGAAAGCAGCGCATTAATATAGAATGGTGATTAAACTGACTTGGAATTAAACTATTATGTATATTATATACAGTGTTGGGGAGTAACTAGTTACATGTAACGGAATTACGTAAATTTAATTACAAAATAAATGTAACAGGAATCTGTTACAGCTACTGAGAAAAAAATGTGTAATTAAGTTACAGTTACTTATGAAAATGTTAACGATTACAAAGCGGGTTACATCTGAATATTTTCAAACACATACAGATTTGATTTCTTTCCCAAATTGCACGGACTGCTCTAAAATATGAGACACCAATATTTTAGGAGTTTAGGACACAGAATAGTTTTAATACATTTATTGTTTTATTTCCTGTTTGGATTGTGTATTTGTGTCCCTGCAGCACAAAAGCAGTGTTAAGTCGCTGGGGTATATTTGTAGCAATAGCCAACAATACATTGTATGGGTCAAAATTATACATTTCTCTTTTATGCCAAAAATCATTAGGATATTAAGTAAAGATCATGTTCCATGAAGATATTTTGTAAATTTCTTACCGTAAATATATCAAAACTTAATTTTTGATTAGTAATATGCATTGCTAAGAACTTCATTTGAACAACTTTAAAGATGATTTTCTCAATATTTTGATTTATCTGCACCCTCAGATTCTAGATTTTCAAATATTGTCCTCGGCCATATAATATAAATTATATGAATAGAACTATAAACATGTAAATATTTTCAAAATATATACTGTATGTGGGAGTCTTTATATATACAAAATAAAGATACACAGTACACACACATATATTGTGTAAACAAAAACTTTTATTTTGGATCGCGATTAATCATTTGACAGCACTAATATATATATATATATATTCAAGACAAGGTTACGACTTTGATATTGGGTTAATCAAAATTGAGAAATCAATAGTTTTAATCCAGTCGTACCACAGACTCTGGACTGCTGGGAAATATTACAGGTAGAACTCCTCCTAAATACTTTTATGCATTTTTCAAGAGTGAAAATACCTTGTAATGCGAGGAGGCTCCAGCAGAGGGCGCCATGCAGGTCTTGAATTCACCTCCTCATGTGTCCACAGGGATCGCATGGACCCGTTTTTCTACAAGTTCCAGTTCAAGAACGTGGAGTACTCCTCCGGCCGGAACAAAACCTTCTTGTGTTACATGGTGGACCAGGGGCCCGGCTCCGGAGGGCTCCTCAGGGGCTTCATCGAGGACGAGCACGCGAGCGGCCACGCCGAGGAGGCCTTCTTCCAGCAGGTCCTGCCCAACTACGACCCCGCCCTCAAATACACCATCACCTGGTACATGTCGTCCAGCCCGTGCGCCGCCTGCGCCGCGAAGCTGGCCGAGATCCTGAAGGCCAGGAAGAGCCTCCATCTGTCCATCTACTCCGCGCGGCTCTTCGAGTGGGAGGAGCCTGAGATCCAGGCGGGGCTAAAGGCGCTGGCGGCCGCCGGCTGCAAACTGCGTGTGATGAAGCCGATGGATTTCACCTACACCTGGAACACGTTCGTGGAGAACGACGAGCAGACGTTCACGCTTTGGGAGGACTGCCAGGAGAACTACGAGTACTACCAAGACAAACTGGCCGACATCCTGCAGTGATGTAAGAGACGATCTTTAACGAACACTTACACGAACAAACACAACTATTGACATTGAAACAAGGATATTATAGTCCACTAACGCTAAAACTATTTAAAAAAAATTCTGTTACTTAAAAGGAAAGTTCACCCAAAAATGAAAACTCTGTCATTAATTACTCGCCCTCATGTCGTTCCAAACCCGTAAGACCTTCGTTCATCTTCGGAACACAAGTTAAGATATTTCTGATGAAATCCGAGAGCACTCATAGAGAGCAAAGGGGCTAAAAAAAACGAAG